TATCTAATCCGGTTGGAAAAATGGAGGGAAGGGTGGGGAAAGTGGAGGAAGGGGGCGAGTACAACAGGGGAATAACGGATGCTTGTTTTCTTGAACGACAACACAGATAGGATGGTTGGACAGCGGTGAAACAAAAAAGCGAAAAGGTTTTGGGGTGGCGGCAATGAGGTAGGATGACTGGGCAACCGTAAAACAATAAGGCAACGAAGTTGCATGGCTGTAGCAGCAATGCAGGATGGCTGGACCGTGGTAAAACAGCAAGGCAATGGAGCTGCAAGGCTATGATAGCATTATAGGATGGTTGGTAAGGTTTGAATTTACGTTGGAGAGCTGTCTTGAGTGGCAGCAGGCAAGGCGTGCCTGGTCCAGAGCAACAACTACAAAATATGGACGATTTGTGGGTGCTAGCAGTAAGGCAAAGTGGGGTTCCTAAAAGGCGGTTGCAATGCCAGTTCTCCGATGGCTATGGGCAGAACTTATTGCTATGCTATTTACCACAGCTGGCAAGAACACAATGCCAAAAAGCACAACAAGCCTTATGGGGCTCTGGTTGTCATGGCATCTACCTTTCTCTCGCCCCTAATGTAACAAATTACTTTTCACGTCACGGAGCAATGAGTTACCTATTTTGGTCCCCGTTTTTAAGAAAATAAAAAGTTGTCTGAGGATTGTAGGAAGAGTATTTTGGTCCTCAGTTTTAAGAATAAAGGGGATGCACAAGAGTGTGCAAGTTATAAAGAAATTAAGTTGATGTGTCATACTTTAAAATTACAGGAGAGGATAATTGAACGTATGCTAAGACGTGATACAAAGATTTCTCATAATCAGTTTGGATTTATGTCGGGCAGGTCTTCTATGGAAGTTATACATTTATTGAGTGATTTGATGGAGAAGTACAGAGAGAATATGGAAGATCTGCATATGATTTTTATTGATTTAGAAAAAGCTTACGATATGGTTCCAAGAGAAGTCATTTGGAGAGTTCTAGAGAAAAAAATGTGTTGATGTGATTTATTTTCAAGTCATTAAATATTTGTATACGATGATTGACAAAGTATTTTCCTATTTCATTTGGATTAATATCAGAGATTGGCTTTAAGCCCATATCATTTTTGCTTTAGTTATGAATGCTCTTATTGGACATTTACAGGAGGATGTACCTTGGTGTATGCTTTTCACTAATGATATCCTTTTTATGGATAAGACTAGAGAAATGGTTCAAGAAAAACTTGAATTATGGAGGTCTACATTGGAGTCTAAAGGCCTTCGTTTGAGTAGAACTAAAGCTGAATACATGGAATGTAATTTGAGTAGTAGTAGTAGCTTTAGTGACAGAGTTGTAACTATGGGTGATCAAGTCATTAAAAGATGTGAAAGTTCTAGATATCTCGGTTCTATTGTTCAAAGTGATGGTGATATAGATGGGGATGCTATTAGTAGAATTCAAGTTGATTGGTTGAAGTGGAGGAATGCTTCAGGCCTGTTGTGTGATAGAAAAGTACCACTTAGATGGAAAGGAAAGTTTTTTAAGATGGTTGTGAGACCTGAAATGCTCTATGACACAAAATGTTGACCATTAGAAGAGAAGCATAAAACAAAGCTAAGTGTTGTAGAGATGAGAATGCTTAGATAGATGAATGACTTGAAACTTGGAGGCAAAATGTGAAATGAATATATCTGTGATAAGGTTGGTGTTGCTCCAGTGGCGGACAAGATTAAGAGTCGTCTTAGATGGTTTGGTCACATTAAACGTCGACTATTTGATGATCCAGTTAGGAGAGTAGATGTTTTAGCTTTGACTGATGTTATGAAAGGTAGAGGTAGAGGTAAAAAGACCGGGGCCTATTGTATAAAAAATGATCTTAATCTATTTGAATGAAATGAAAATATGACACTCAATTTGACACAATGGAAAAAAAAAAAGATTCATGTAGCTGACCCCACTTTGTGGGATAAAGGTTTGTTGTTGTTGTTGCAACACTGAGGTACTTCTCGGCTCTTTGGGTTGTCCATAGTTTAGCTTCGTTACCTCCCTCCACCTTCGTTACCCCCCCTCCCCCTCTTTCCAATGAACAAGTTAAAATTGGTTTGGTTATTCAGGATGAAGCGGGGAAGATTATTCTTGCAACTGGGCGAACTTTATTACATTGGGATAGCTCTTAGGTGGGATATGATGCGGTGCTCTTTCTTAGTAATTTCCTGCAGCCTTGGATGTGTAAAACCAAAGGTATCGTCATTGCGGGAGATAGTGGGAATGTCATTAACTCTTTTCGGGAAAGTATGAAGACGAAGGTTTGACAACACCAACTCGGCGTTGGACCTAATATTACCTTTCTTCTGGATTTCAAGCAAGTCCTTTTCTTTTGCGCTCATAGAGAATGTAACAAAGCTACCCATTTTTATTAGGCTAGCTTTGGATATGTCTTTTGTTTGGGATGCTGACACTTGTGACCCTATTTTTTTGAGTGTGGCGGTAGATGACGTCAACCACGCTGCTTCTTTCTGTAGCTTTTATTGTTTTTTGTTTTAGATTAATGCAACATACATTCACGGAAGGCGGTTACAAGTCGGAAGGCGAGGAGTATGGGGTTTGGAAGGCGGCGACAAGGTGGATTGTAGAAAAACAGCCAAGGTGTGTTTTCGGACGGTTGCAATATGTATGGTGATGGTGGCAGCGGAGGAAAGGATGTGGAGGAAGTGATAGTCGAGGATAGGCACCACCTTGGATTGAGATATAGCTAGAGCATCACTCGCCCTTGAATATAGTTCTAGAAGGGGTAACTAGAGATGCTGACGATTGTCCCTACAAAAAACACAAAAAAAGAATTGAGAATCCAAGCTTTACTTCAACACATATATAGGAAAACAGTAGAAAGTGAGGAAGGATAGAAAGAAATATGTTGAAAATTGGAAAAAAAAAATTCAAAGAAATGTTGTTTGGTTCGGTTCTACCCCGTTTGCGCAAACCGGTTACCGTGCGTCGCGATCATGGGATCGCTAGATCCCACAACTCCCCACCTTGTCCAACGTCGTTGGTGGGATGCCCATGTTAGTTCCTTTTCTAGGATTTAATAGATCTTGCATAAAAAATAGTTTGCATATTAAAAAAGACTGTGGTTAACAATTTCCAATTACATTGTGTGGTAGATTTACTAAGGCCATATTCGAAATGGAATATGATTATAAAAAATAATCAAAGTTAACAAGATCATACACTCTTCATAAAATATTGTATTGATGGAAAAAAGTTCAATTCTTATGTGAATGTTGATGATAGTGTGATAATTATTAATAATAATGAAAATGAAGGTGATAATTACTTGGGAAAATAATTATCATAGAGTTTGAATTTGAAGAACTTGAAAAGTTTATATACTCAGCGAACATTGAAGTTGCTAATTAAAAAAATCTCTCAACAAAAATATATTATGAATCTTCTTAGAGAAACAAAAATGGATGATTGCCAGTTATGAGAAACTCCAGTTGAACCAAATAGAAATTAGAAACAAATGATTAAGAGACAAAAGCTATCATTGAACAGTATCATAATTTATTAAGAAACTAATCTATATCTTACACCCCTTTTGCATTACCTTTTTAATAAGTCTCATAGGTCAATTTATGTACAAATCTGCCTCTAAGTTGCTTACAAAGTTATCAAATACCTAAAATTTACTTCAAAATATCTAATAATATGGGTAAGGATACAATTGTCTCATGTTTAAGTGTTATTCTAAATTCAAAGCCATCACTTGAGGTATTTTTTCACTCCTATGGATTTAAACTGTTCTATAAGATTTAAAAATAAAATGAAAAGTGCCTATGAAGATATAATATGATATCAAATCCGTTGTTAGTATTACCAAAATCCAATATAACATGATTGAGCAAACTATGTTGAGATAAATATCCATTTTATGAAAAGGAAAATAAAAAAAAGGCTAATTTACTGCATATGTTCTAACGATAAGTCAATTCAACAATATATTTATCAAAGATCTTTATAACATTGCATTAAAAATATCTTAAGCATCATTTGACTAGTGGACCTTTAACATATAGTTTATGGGAGGTCGTAAAGTATCTAAGGGCTAGTGAAATTGACAACTTTAGGCTTTTAAATAATGAATGAAAGGAGCCGTAGATTCATATTCTTAATAAGGAAAAATGCGTCACATATTTATGTGTTTAACATGGAAGTGGAATGCCATGAATTATTCCCAAGCTAAGATAGGAAGTTTTAGACAGCTATTTTAGTTTTAAAAATATTGAAGTTAGTAATTTTAAATTATTTTTCAGGTAAATTTGTGCATAAATATCAAGTTTGGGAATGAATAAAACAAGTTTTCTAACCACTTCTTTTATTTTATATTTCTTCAATGATTTAATTACAAAGGACTTGTGGAGGCATTTTCTATGCTATCGGAACCTTCTTTAATTCTTTTAGTTTTTGCAAAATTAGTAAATTGTGCTCAATTTTGTATTTGGGGCATTTACTTGTATAGCACACTATTCTTATATGTTCACATACATACCTGAACTTTCATATTTACACACATAGCACTCAAATATTTAATATCACATCAAAAATAGCACTTTTACCACCCCCCGGTACCAAAGTGTTGTGTATGTACATATGAATCACGTGAGATATATTAATACATAAGAATTGTGTGCGAGGTATGTAAATTTCCCTGTTTTTTAGTTATTTGGAACATTTAATTCTTAATTCTAGACATTTTGAGTGGTTAAATTTCGGTAGGATGAGCTTCAGTTTTAAGGACTTATCCTTGTGGTGATCATTATGCCATAACTTTATTTTCATTTCTGATCTTTAGAAATAATGGTATGGTTTGAATTAGCTGATTCTTATGGATCTTTTTTATTTGTATTAGGAGTTGCAGCGCTTCCTTGTTGAAAATGAAGTTCTTAGCCTTCGGTAACCATGTTGAAAATTTTTTACAGGTTTTTCCATCATTAGATGTATCAATCCAAATAACTCCCTGTCCATCCAAGTTACAGGAGTTCCTTGTGAGGATGGATATCATGAACAGGACAAGTACAGAGAGTTTTTCTATACAGCAGTTATCATGTGTTGGTGATCATTTGGGGATTTCAACACTGCCTGCAAACGAATCTATTTGTCAGACAAAAGTCATACATGCTGGTCAAGCGTTATCTTGCTTCTTTAAGCTGAAGGTTTGTGAACCGTAACTGGACATATTACTCCTGCATTAGTTTGAATTTAGAAAGACATTATGCATTGGTGTTTTGAAGTCAAGTAACGGTAGTCCTAGAGTTCAATATTAATGTCATTTAGTGAAATTGTGTCTTACTTGCAAGAAATCAACAGAAGCTCTTTTGGAACAGAGTTTCGTTCTATGCTGTGCTATGTGAATTGAATAGAAAAGTTTTAAGCAATTTCTATCAGTCTGATGGAAAGCTGCAAATCTGCCTTATATTGGTTTAGGGGATACGGAATCCTTTGATGTTTCCAGATTTTTATTAAATTTATAGGGCGTATATACTCCAAAAGAATGCCTTTGTGGGTATATAGTTTAATGAAGCCCACTTTCAAAATGGTGGCTTACCTTATTTGCTGGCCTTCTATTATATCCGGTGAATTAGCACTTGGGTCAGATAAATTTATTATAGCGTAGGTGCTGTATGGAGCTTAACCTGACTTCTGTTCGGTACCACACCAAGCAGAGGAATCTCCAACCTGAACCAACCCAACATATTTGGACATGAATATGCTCGTGCATTTACAAATCTATAGCTATGTTAAAATTGGAAATCACACTAGCAATTGATGTAATAATGACCATTTCCTTGTTTTAATCACACGTATAGTAACATTATTAAAAAAACCATAGGATTTTATTATTTTGCAACTTTCACTTATTTGTAATATATATTTAAGCAATATTAAACAACATATGCCCTACATGCTATCAACTCTAGCCCTACCAAAATGATGTTGGTTTGGGTTGAAGTATGCAAAAAAATCTGTCAATTTGGAAAAATTTAACTAACCCAAACCCTCATCATTTCTAGTGTGTTGGTTAAAAAAAATGTTATTTTATAATTTATCATATGTTGCAAATGGTTGGTAGCTAACTTTATTAAGTGCATGCGTGCATTCTTTAACTTGAATGCTTTAAAAAGTGCTTCTAGAAACAGGGAGTTCCATTACTTAGATTTGTTGTGCTTAGGAGCTCTTGTTCATAGCTTAAAAGGTACATTTTTCTTTTGAGAATTTTACATACATACCACACAATTCTTATGTATTTACATATCTAACACCCAAAGTTTTATCTTTACACTTATAGCAGTTTGGTGTCATAAACTTGTGCATGAAAAGGTGTATTTCACTTTAAAAATGATAGTGATGGTGGTATTTTTGATATGATGTTACTATTTTAGTGGTATGCATGTGAATATGAATGTTCAGGTGTTAGATATGAAAATACATAAGAATTGTGTGCTATGTATGTAAATGCCCCTATTACTTTATGGCCTGGTTAACTGGATTAGGTGGTTCCCAACTGATACAAATTGAGCTGTGTTTTATTTGCTATTAGAATGTGATGTAATTTAGAATTCCAAAACACTATTCCACAGACAATTCTCTCCCATGGTTATTCTTTATCATTTGTACTTTATCGTTGATGATTGAGGTTTTTATCCTTTGTCCGTCCAATTATGTAGCTATTGGAAGCTCTAACCTCCCATATAACACTTTCTTCCTGCACAGTAACACATTTCTGAGCCACACTATTTATCATTTTGTAGTTGCAGTAATTTTTCTGTATTTTGATCCTCATTCATTGCAGGCTGTGATTATCTTGTCTTCACTGCACTTCAATTTTTTCTTAAACTTCATGTGTAGGTTTTGGAGAGTAGAAATTATTATTCCTCTTCAATTTCATAGGAAATGAATGCAAGATAAATAGAGGGGATAGCTCCCACATTAAGAATATCACGATCCGGTCCGACGAGTTTGGAATTATCTAGGCTGGAACTAACTGTCGGACAGAGAGACATAACTAACAGTTTCATTTTATCACAAAAATGAAAATCCAAAACTCAAAAAGTTAGTCTAATTCATACAACTTTATTTACAATAAATCATTTAATTTAAACATTTACATTCAGATAGAAAATAAACTAAACTACAATACATCAGCTGGCGCTCACGGTGTCAGTATACGTTTTCCATTGTGTCCATCTATTCTACAATTAGTTTTCTTATAAAATTGTTAGTAACTATGATTTGAGTTAAAACTATTTAGTGGGTAAATGTTTTTAAATTATAATAATTTTCATTTTAAAACATTTTTGTAAAAGAGCAAGAAAAGTAAAATATTGTGTAGTAAAAGAGAGTAAAAGAGAGCAGTAAAGAAAAAAAATTTTATTTCTCTTCATTTATTTAGTTTACACTTCATAATTGATTCTCCATTTAAACGTATACTTTATAAAAATATACGTTTATCATTTTTCAACCCATCATAAAGATAGACAACATTTTTTATTTTCATTTGCATTTTCAATCTATTTTCATTTCGTGCACGAGTACAATGCATTTCTCTGTTAGTACCATCCAGGTGTGATTTCCATATGCATGCATGTATCATTTTTTATTCAGTTTTATCTTGCATTTAACATTTAAAACAAATTAAATTCTTTTTCATTTAAAATAAAGTTAGGAAAAAAAGTAAATAAGCAAAATTATTGTAAAATAAAATGCATTTACCCACCTCAACAATGTCGTTTGCTATATTTTCCTAGATCAGTCTAAACTCTTGGGTGCACCTATAATAACAAATTAAAGTTAAATATTTTTTTATTCAATGCTAATCTTCTTTCTTATTGTTTCTACATTTTATATCATTAGTTTCGTAATTTCCTTAGTTACTTGGCTATTTATCTACCTATAAATATATATAAATATGCATATATATATATATATATATATATATATATATATATATTTTCGAGTGAAGGTATATTATATATATGAATTAGCTAAACATATATACATATATTTGTAGGAATATCCAATTTAATTTTTATGTTAAAATTTCTAAAATTTTCCCTTTTGCGTATCTATCATAATAGCAATTTAATTATGACTAAATTTTAAATTTAATCTCTATGTTAAAGCTTCTAAAATTTTCCTTTTTGCGTAACTAACATAATAGCAATTGAATAATAATGAAATTTTAAATTTAGGATTCTTAATGTCATTATAGCATGACTTAATAAGAAAATAATAATTCATTATTAAAATCGAGTTTTAAATTTAGGGTTCTTTCTTTCATTTTAACTTTAATTAAGTAGGAAAGAAATAATAAACTTTTGAAACTGAATTTTATACTTGAATTTCTTCTGATGGGTTTTTTTACGAATCTAGTCTTTTCCAAATTTGCCTAAAACAAATGTAAACAAAATTTTAATTTATTTGAAATGTAAATTTTCTGAGAATTAATCTTAATCAATCACAATTAATAATTTAAATTAAATTAACACTAATTAACTTAGCCTTTACTTTTTATTCTTCTACCTTGTCTTAAATAAGTCGAACCGAACAACAAGGCTTAGTTGAGCATTCACGCAAGGCTGCTCCTACACACAAAGCTTTGCATACAAAGCTACCGCGAGCTTTCCTTCTTTTCCCTCCTCTGCGAGCCGCATGGTAGGGCTCCTGCTAGCCCTTCCTCCCTCTCCCAGTTCTCGGTCAAGATTCCTACAAGCTGCACGAGCTCTCCTTCTTCTTCCTTTAAGTCGGGTAAGTAACAGGAGCTGGGTCGAGCCTCACACGAGCCACTCGATCACTTCAGGAAGTCAAACGAGCTTTCCTCTTTCTTCTTCCCCATTTCTTTTACTGTTCACGACACTCGACAGGGCTAGTCGAGCTCTTTGTCAAGCACGATGCGGAAGCAAAGGACGCTTCATGCAAGTTTATCATCTTTTTCTCCTTTTGCTTCTTCCTATACTGCTTCTTCTTCTTTTTCCTTTTCTTCTTATTCCTCTACCCTACACTCTCGCTCTCACTTTTCCCCCGTCTCTCTCACACTCTCCTTCGCTCTCTGTGTGTGTGCGTTGGAATGGAATGAGACGAGAAAAAATCCTCATCTTAACGCTCCCATGAGCGGTGCGATCTCACTCGAACGACACCTGTGTTGTTACCAACGAAGCTCCTCTTTTTTTTCTATTAATTAATTAACTTTTCAAAATTTTTTAATCGTTTATTGTTACAAAGATGTTTTAAATGTCATATTAAACGTCGACCATTAGATGATCCGATTAGGAGAGTAGATGTTTTAAATTCGACTTGTGTTAAGAAAAGCAGAGGTAGACCTAAGCAGAGGTAGACCTAGGAAAGACTTGGGCTTATTGTATTAAAAATGATCTTAATTTACTAGAACTAAATGAAAATATGACACTAAATAGGACGCAATGGAGAAAAAGGATTCATGTAGTCGACCCCACGTAGTGGGATTAAGGCTTTGTTGTTGTTGTTGTTGTTGTTGTTTATTGTTACAAAGAAAATCATAAAATCAGTCTTAACTTCCCATAATAAAAAAGAGGAAATATGAATCATAACATATCAATAATTCTAAAGTTTAAAAATTGAAAAATTTATGATAGAATATACTGAAAGTATAATTTTCCTAAAATTCCACCCCTCCCCTCCTCTCCCTCCCTCTCGGCAAGTTGAAGCATAGATGTCTATTATGCCCAACTTACTTACGAAGAGCTCAAAACTAAGCCTAAACAGTCCTTTGGTGAAGTTATTTATTATTTTTTAGCAGTAGGGATAAATAACATTAAGTGTCTATCAATCTTTACATTCTTTGTGCGATCATAATGCATTTGATTTTCTGTAATGTTTATGGCTGTTTTAATTTCACAGCATAACTTCATTGACATGTTTATCGGGAAATGCAGCTCTTCAAGAATTCTTTTCAACTATAATATCTCACATACTCCATTAGGCATAGATCTATATTTTACCTCGACACTACTCCTTACAACCATATTCTGGTTTATATTTCACCATATAGCTAGGTTTCCCCACACATATGTGCAGTAGCCAAAAGTTTCTCATGTCAATAATTGAGTTTTCCCAATTTGCATTAGTGTAGATCTCTATACTATTTTGTGTGATCTTCTTAAAGAGTAAACCCTTTTCT